TCGCAACTTAAAATTCTGTCCAATCGTTTGATCACACATTCGGCGCAGAAGTACTTTAAACATTCGTTACATTGTTTCTGAAAAAAAGTCGCGAAATCGGAACAAAAGGATACGTCTGTCGGAGGTTTTTTTCATGGATTTATCGTTAAAAAAAAATACGTAGCCGAGCAGTTCTTACCTTGCGTGTAAAGAAACTGAACTTCGCGTTACATGCTTCACAAGCCATGCCGTCTCCGAATAATAATATGATAATGTATACACGCGCATACGCTTTTCGCGAAATATAACATAAAATCGGAAGATTAGGTCAGTGAAGCCAGATCAATACTTTTTCCCCACTCTACTTTATCTTCGATACCACTCTACCTCTCCCGCAGCGAATTTCCCCATTATCCCCACTGTCACTGTCAGATTAGTCACGTGACTGATGGTAGGACTACGGCGTGGCATCTCGGCGTCACCATCGGCGCTATAGGACGAGCGAGAAGTCATCGTCTGGCTTCGCTCCTCCGAAACTCAGCTAGAGATGGCGCGATTTAACAATTAATTTTTAATTATTAAAGAGGAAAACTTAAATTAAAATATCCTCTCTCTTACCGGAAAATGTTCAAATATTTCCAATGAAAAGAGTGTAAATGATTTAATATAATATTTCTTCCATTTCGTGTCTTTTTCTCTATTAACTCGACGAGAAATCACACGTCGAGGAACAAAGCTATTTCGTTCGAATATTTTTCAAATTGATGCGTTGCACGAAATTTAATATTAACAGTTAGTTAATAACTACAACCTTTTTCATTATCTTCGATTGAACTTATTTAACTGATTTCATCGAGAACTTCGTTTTATAAAAGCGAGAAAGATAATTCCAGTTATTTGCAGTTTATCGAATTAACCCTCTATAGGCTCGTGTGACTTTGAAGTCACACATCGATATATCGAGTTGAACTGACGTATTTAATTTTTCATTGCAAAACGACAAACGACATTAAATAATTAACCAACTTAAACTGTTCTACACAAAATATATTCGTTTCAATAAAACTGCTGAAACCATTGAATACCATTGTTAACTTGTGTTCATACGTTGATATTTATTAATTTCATACTGCATAAATTTTGTTATAATCACGAAACAAAATTCGGCCCATAGAGGGTTAAAGAAAAAAATGAGCAAAATAAAAGGCAATGCCAACTGTTAAATATGAAATTTTATAGTTACACTGTACGAATTATTTAAATCATTATTATATTATTTTACTGTACGAATTACTTAAATCATTCGATTGAATCGCACGTACTTCCTATTTGTTCGTCCACCTTTTCACAGTTTTATTCCTCCATTATTTTACATATTGTACATGTTTAACATATGTATGGTACGCGTAAGTAATTGATTTAGTAATTAAATACGTATTGTAAAAAATTCTGTGCATTTGCGCCAGTCGTGCGATAGACTCTCGAAGCGCAACGGTTCGAGACGCAACTCTGCGAACCGGAAGTCAGCCGAGGGGGCTAAAAGGATTCGTGAAAAATATGCGTGTCTTATTATTAATATGAGTATCCTATTGTTGTTACACGAAAAAAATGATCCGGCTAGGAATACGCGTGTCTCATCGCGGTACTGTCATATTTGCTAGGTAATATAATACACTCGTGTAATAAATCTATGTGAAGATTGATCGTCCGCCAATCGAACGGCGATATTAATGTAATTAACCCTTCGCGTTCCAGAAGTTTTTTAATATTCAATATTTTCTAACGACAGACGACATTTTCTTAGACTGAATCAAGAAATCTCGCGTGCATCGATTTTCTTTCAATGTTTCGTACGTTGATTATACAAAGTTTAACGCCAGATTTACGGAACCCGTCAATTTGATTGCATTTTTTAATTATTCATTTAGTAATAGTCTGGTTCTGAAGTTATTCTCTCGATTTATATAGACGAACCCGTAGTTTTCTAGAAACAATAAAGTTTAGAATAAACGTCCGTAAATCTAGTGTTAACATCAACACGTTAAATGCCGCGGGGGTCACCGGAGACCCCAACCAAATTAAATTACTATAGTTCGCTCAATGAAACGACGATTATTAAACATTTCCATATTACAAATACTGCTACCTAATTTCGTGACGTTCAACTAGAACGTGCGATAATAATAATGCAATTCAATGAAACGATTCGATATCATGTTTTTTCCATTCTGTGTAATTTGCTTTATATAATCGCGCGGCGTTCAACGTGTTGAATATCAAAGTTTACAGTTCTGTCGAATCTAGTGACCTAGAGGCGCCTCTGGAGCGCGAAGGGTCAACGTGTCACGGTTAAAGGGTATTTCTTCTTATTATTGTTGTAGAATAAATTACTAGAAAATAATATGGCGAAACAGGGGCGGAGAGGGAGGGAGTGGAGACAGCGGCTCACGTACTCGCGCGTAACATTGAGCAACTTAGGTCAATAAAACATGGTAGATACACTAGACTACGTAAACATATAAATACCTACGTACACTGCCAGCCAAAAGTATTCGAGTATTGTATGATAAGCTAACGACCTTCCGAACTGTTGTAACTTTTTCGAGGAAATCGCACATGGTTCGAGGGGTCATTGCAAAGGGCAAACTTCAGTCTACGAAACTGAGTACGAAGAAAAACGATTCCCTGCGTTCGCAGATGTGAATTAGAAAAATTGTTTGAAAACTCAAAAGTTCTCTACCAAAAATACCCAACACTTTCCGATGGAACGTAGTTAACATTTCTTGAAACTGGCTTCGCGAGAAATCGTATACAAATTAGAAAGATGTTTTATTTGAATATTTCACATGTTAATGCATCACGCGAGATTTAAATATTATACTCCATAATTTTTGGGGTGCAAAGGGTTAACACGTTCACTGCGTGTACCACCGGTGGCTCACAGTAAGATATTAGCGTGTACCATTGACGGCTCATTAGACGGTGTGTAGCGTGAAATATGTCGTCAAATGGTTTGGTAATTAGAGAACATTGCCATATAGTTGAGAATTAATTGACTCATCGATCATTAGAATATTTTCATTAATTTTGAGAATTCGCTCGCCAAATGACTTTCACGAGACAATTGAAAGGAATCGTTAACTTTTCAATGTCTAAATATTTACTGGCAGTGTACACGATGTGCGCACGGATTTGGTCTCTGAAACAGGACTAACGCACTTGCATCGTTTCCCCGTTTTACCATGGAATGTAAGAAGCTCGAGTGTGACGCGCTCACATTGCCGTGTGTAACATGCGTTTCGTGTACAATTGAATTTTCTCCTGCGATTGTTTCATCGACTCGATCGGGGAGACGTATTCCTCTTTGCTGTCCTGGTCCACCTCGTTCCTTTCGGTGTCGGTATTCTCATGAAGCGATCCTTTCCTACAAAGAAAGAAAGAAAAACATGTAGAATAAATGATACGTTCAGTCGTGAATCGAGGTTCTCACAATGATCATTTATCAGACCACGTCTGCTTACGTGTATCTGTTCTCCGACGAACGGAACAGTGACTTTGGGCAGTCTTTGAAATAGGGCCAGCATTCCCCGTGAAACTTCCCCCTGTTCTCTGCCTCCACGTAGTCCGTTAGAATATTCGCGAACGGTGATTTGCTTGCACTGAAAGTAAACGTTTTTCGAACATACGAATTCTCTAGACGCGATAGATTCTTTTCGCGACGTATGGATTTACCGAGAAGAGATCCTTCGAAAATTCAACCCTTAACGGACAATCTCGCGGAATCCAGAAACGGATTAATCCGCGTTAACCCCTTAACTTGCACGCTCGAGTTGATTCGAGCGCGCTAAACAGGCCAAACGGTGAAAATAACAATGGCAGTCAAACATTCACTTGGCAGTCAAAGCGTTAAGGGGATGAAGTGTCAAAGTTTGTATGGAAATTATTTGATGACTGTTAACTTGAAACTTGGACGCTATAAAACAAGAACGAAGGGAAAAGAGGAAAGGCAAGAAAAAGTAGACTAAGTATCACTGATACCAATTAACCCTTTTCACTCCGAAGTTCTTCACTAGAAATATTTCAACATTTTCTGACGAGATGAAGACGATATTTTAAAACCAACTCGACGAGAAGTTCACGCGAATTGACGGACAAAGCTATTTTACGTGAATATTTCTCGGATTGATGCATTATATGAATAATATTAAATATCAAGCTTTACAGCTTCACTGTAGGAAATCAAGTTAAGCTAAATTGCATAATAATTGACAATATCGCAGCGATTGTTTCGGAAGAATAGAGACGACAAGTTCTTTCGCCTTTCTTGTGAGATAGAAGAACATTGCACAGGTTATAGTTCAGCGTTGCTTAATTAACATGGAGAATCTTACGTGAAGAAAAGCTTGAGCATCTCGCCGATTAAGCCGAAGTTGCTCAGGGGATGTCCCTGAATCTCGCAGATCGCTCTCAGCAGGCACGCCTTCCCGTTCAGGCCAAAGTTTGCGATCATGTCCTCCGCGGTGCTGTACAGAAGAGCCCTTTCACCGCCGTAAAATGCGTTTTTCGGTAAATCTGTGATGGCTTCTCTTTTGCTGAGTCCACGCTTCACGAATGCCGCGATGAATTCCGCTGTGGTTGAACCTTGCTCCCTCGCGGTGGCGTCGAACGCGGACGGCAGGACGCCGTAAGGGTTCTCGTTGTCGGTCAAGCCGAGCTTGTCGAAATCGACTGAACACCGAGACGAGACAATAGAGACCAATGAACTTAATATTAAATAAAAATAGAAACCGATGAACTTAATGATATCAAATAAAAATAGGAACCAATGAACATAATATTAAAATAGAAACCGATGAACTTAATGATATCAAACGAAAATAGAAACCAATGAACAATGATATTAAATAGAAATAGAAACCGATGAACTTAATGATATCAAATAAAAATAGAAACCAATGAACAATAATATTAAATAGAAATAGAAACCGACGAACTTAATGATATCAAATGAAAATGGAAACCAAGGATCACTGATATTAAAGAAAAATAGGAACCAATGAACATAATATTAAATAAAAATAGGAACCAACGAACTTAATGATACCAAATAAAAATAGAAACCAACGAACAATGATATCAAACAAAAATAAACCAATAGAAGAGCACTGAAACGAATGCACCAAGTATCTACGTAAGAATCTATCCAGTTCTCTCAAACCAATTTATCCAGCTAAGCGATAAATATTTCAAAACTTCCCTACATTACATACAAAGTATCACGAAACGGTAACACTTGGCAAGACGAATGCGCAAGGAATGGAACTCGGTTAAACGATAATCATTACTAGTATAAATATATATTTCATACTACGGGCATTTCGTTTCCTGAGATCGTCCGGCATTCAACGCGGTACTCGCGCATGCCCGGCGTCGTTTACTCACTGGTAAAAGGAAGACTGATGGTCATATTGCTGAGGAAACCATAGGGCGGGTACCGAACGAATGGCAGTGCCAGCGTCGGAGTGATGGTCATTATCGTGCCCGGCGGTAAAGCGATCCGACCGTCGTTAGTTACCCAAAAGAATCTCTTCTGCCGATGATGCGAGTATCTCGGGTACGAGTGCCCGTCGACGCCGCTCTCGACGTTCGACGATTTCAAGAACAGGATCAGCCCCAGCAACGCCACCATGCTCTTCTTCTTCTCCATGTTTCCTCCTCGGCGAAGATCTCGAAGGGTAGATATTCAGTTAACTGTCAATCGAAAGACGACACGCAGGATCCCTGCAACGGCGAAATTTCCACATTTAACGTCGCAGCGTCGTTGACTTCGACATTCAACGCGTCGACTGCCACGGAAACCTTCAGAGTTCCATGTATCCTTTTGTAACAAAGATAAAGAGGAACTGTCACTTATTCGATACCGCAACGCTTCCGTTACACTGTCCAATAATTCACGCTATGAAATATTTCCCGACATTAGTTGTCCGACAAATTGTAACTATTGTCAGTAATCCGAAAGCTCCGATCGGTGACCGACGTGGCAGTCAACGTGTTAACACTGGATACTCCATCTCCTGTATCTCGAAGCCCTAATTATCAAGAAATCAACACTGACTTCTATAACCGATCGAATATACAATAGATATCTCTAAACGTCGTGTCAGAGATCGGCATGATCAAAGAATTTTGTTACGCGCGTTTCATTGAACAGTTGCTCGACGCTGCATTCAATCCTTTCAAAATTATCGGAACGACAGTCGCTCCTCCGACTTCCGGAGAAACCGATCACTAACGAACCGAACTGCAATCGTAATGTCGATGCACTGTTAGAGGAACGAGGAAAAAGCGACTAGTCCCAGCGTGACAGGAACTCGGTTCGGTTCGGTCCGAAGTTTTCGAATGGCGATGACACGACGACGGTCCGAAGTTTTCGATGACCGAACTCACGGCGGTGGTTGTGAATCGTGAATAATCACGAGTCGGTGGATAAGACGAATGTCAAGATCGGCAGCGTCGTTTTTCGTTTCCCGCGGTGAGGTTCGATCGGGCACGTTCGATCGTTGATGAAAACGATCTGACGGGAACGCGAAGGTGGGTCACAGACGGCGTAACGCGGAATACAAATTTCGGCCGCTACGTACGGCGTAACAGCCGGCGTAAAAGTCTTACTGTTATTCGTCGCTCGATCGACGTCGACGTTCGTGCATTGAAATCGGAATCGAACGAGACCCGCCTGATCAATTGGATCCCGAATAGCAATCAAGCACACGATTTGCGTACGCTTTCCGTCGGAACCGTTAGTTTACGGCCTCGCCAGAAAAACGGGTCGCGAATAAACGATCGCGCGATATGTG